GCTTGTGTCTCAAACCTGGGAAGCCATTTTAAACCAGAGTGGATGAATTTCCTCCCTTTCCTCTCCCTCGTCCCCTGTCTTAAGTCAGAGAAGCTGTTTTAAACCAGAGTAGGATGAATTTCCTCCCTTTGCTCTCTCCCTCGCTTCTGGAGTAAAACAACTACTTTTAAAGTAAAGACCTCCCAATGAAAAAAGAAATACTTTCAAACCATTAAGGAAGGATTCGGAAGTCTCGGAAGTTTCGAAAAGTTTTATACATTTTTTTTTCTGTGAAAATTGGAGTGGGAGAAGATTAAGAAGATTGAGATTAGAGAATAGAGAAATGTCTGCAAAAATTGATTCAAATGGAGTTAAATTAGAATTCTCCCCCCCCCAATACAAATCTACCTTGATTGCACAAGGTAACTTAACCTTCCTGTAACTACCAGTTATCCCTTGTAAATAGTTTCTCTAGCTGAAATCACTCTACATTTTAAAGTGTACTAAGAGATGGGGTGGCAGAGAATTGTGTGCAAAGGAAGTTTTAAGGACACCTCCTACTGGTTTGTCTGGAGGGTGCCCAGTCATACATACATTAGTAGAGGTGTCTTTGCTTTATCACATGTAATCTGCTCAAAGTAACTTCTGGAAATGTGATGTATTTCTGCACCAATCACAGCTGGATATAGAATCATTCAGATTTTGCTACATATTCATGCTAATAACAAGAAATGATTCAAGTCACCTTAACAATAAGTATAAAGTAGATCCTAAGGAAAATTGGTACTGAAATGAAAGACAGGTATTATTTATTTATTTATTTAAAACATTTATATTCCGCCATTCTCACCAGAAGGTGACTCAGGGAGGAGCACAGCATATATACAGCAAACATTCAGTGCCGGGACACAAATTCTTACATACATACATACATACATACATACATACATACATAAACATTAAAAACATTTATCAAAATATTAAAATGCACCATTTAAAACAGTCTTAATCATCCACGTCAAATCTAATTGGCCTGGTAATCTTTCCTATTGCTGCTTTATTGCCCTGTCCCGAAAGCTTGGTCACACAGCCAAGTTTTTGCCATTCTTCTAAAGGACAGGAGAGAGGGGGCCAACCTGATCTCACCAGGAAGGGAGTTCCATAGCCAGGGAGCAATCACCAAGAAGGCCCTGTCTCTCGTCCCCGTCCCCCCAAATCATGCCTGTGACAATGGTGGGACGGAAAGCAGGGCCTCCCCAGAGGATCTTAATCTTCGCAATGGTTCATAGGGAGAGATGCATTCGGAGAGGTCAGTTAGGCCGGGGCTGTTTAGGGCTTTATAGGCCAAATCCAGCACTTTGAATTGTGCCCGGTAGCAAACTGGCAGCCAGTGGAGCTGGCGTAACATGGGAGTTGTATGCTCCCTGTATGCCACCCCAGTTATTAACCTGGCTGCCTCTCGCTGGACTATTTGAAGCTTCTGTGCAGTCTTCAAAGGCAACCCCATGTAGAGTGCATTGCAGTAGTCTATCCTAGATGTAACGAGAGCAGACATGAGCGTGGACCACCGTGGCAAAGTCTGACTCCCCAAGGTACGGGCACACCTGGCGCACAAGTTTTAATTGTGCGAAAGCTCCCCTGGCCACCTCTGCAACCTGGTGTTCAAGGCTCAGTGATGAGTCCAGGATGACCCCCAAGCTGCGAACCTGGGCCTTCAAGAGGAGTGTAACCCCCATCCAGCACAGGTTGTGACCCTATACCCTGTTTGGCCTTACGACTGACCAGGAGGACCTCTGTCTTGTCTGGATTCAACTTCAATTTGCTCGCCCTCATCTAGACCGTCTCAGCGGCCAGGCACCGGTTCAGGACTTGGACAGCCTCCTTGGCATCTGGTGGAAATGAGTAATAGAGTTGGACATCATCTGCGTACAGATGGCATCAAACTCCAAAACTCTGGATGATCTCACCCAGCAGCTTCATGTAGATGTTAAACAACATGGGGGACAATACTGAGCCCTGCGGGACTCTACAGGACAATGGCTGTGGGGCCGAACAGGAATCTCCCAGCAACACCTTCTGGGTACGACCCTCCAGGAAGGACTGGAGCCACTGCAGAACAGTGCCTCCAAGATCCATCCCCGAAAGGCGCCCCAGAAGGATACGGTATCAAAGGCTGCTGAGAGGTCCAGGAGAACCAACAGGGACACGCTCCCCCTGTCGAGGTCTCTGCGGAGATCATGCACTAAGGCTTACATTAGTAGTGTACATCATTTTTAAATGCTACAAAACAGAAAAACACAACAAGCAACTGCTTTCTATCATAAGAACAAGAAACACTGGTATTAACTGTATGAAATACTTTTGCTACATCTCTTCTTTTAGCATACTTGTGCCAACTTAACATAGGCCCCTTCTACACTACCATATAATTCAGATTATCAAAGCAGATAATCCACATTAACTGCTTTGAACTGGATTACATGAGTGTACACAGCCATATAATTCAGTTCAAAGCAAATAATGTGAATTTTATATGGCAATGTAGAAGGGTCTTGATTACATAATTTTTAAAAGTTGTTTTGGAGTTTCATCATTTCTGTTTCTATTCCCCGAGCAGACTCGTACATTTTTCAAATCAGGAAAAGTCAAATGATAAAAAGTGTGAAATACTCAAAATAAGCCCGTTGTTAGGGTTCAGCCTGTGTGTGAACCTGAACCTGATTCTCTGATTGTATTTCCTGATGTTCATGTAGATGTCAATGTGAATTCTGAGGCCAATTTAGATGATGATGGTTTGAGTAGTGAAAATCTTTCAGCCTTGGAAAGTGAAAGTCAAGATTCTCATGAGAACATGCATTCCGAGCCAAGCGGAGACGTTTCACTCCCTTCTCTTACCAGTCTTAGTTCTCCAGAGAATCAGACACCTGGCCTGCCTAATGAGGATAGGTGGGGGCAGATTTGGCAGAGTCGGGGAGAAGCACAATGTTTACATAGGTCAGCCAGATTGAAAGAAATCCAAACAAAAACTTCAGGCGTGTCTCGCAATAGATTTCTTGGCCTTAAATATGCCTGGCCTGAATACAGCTTCAGACCAGGCATCGTTCCAGTTTCATGTGACAGCGTTTGCAGGTCTCCTGATTCAAGTGGCCTTGTTCCTCGGGGGTTTTCTAGTTGTTCCAAGTACGGTTAGTGGCTTGCTAACAGGTTCCAGGATTCAGCAGTTTTGCTGTGGGTTTTATGATCTTGTTCATGGACATTTCTTGTTGCTGCTTTTTACTGTGGTTTTTTACCTTTGCATTTTTCCTCTATTTTGTATTCATCTTTCACCAATAAAAAAGGATTGTTTTCCTGAAGCCAAGTGTGGTGGATTGTTGTCTGAGGGTCCAGTTTCCTGCTCTGGGTTGCAACACCCATGAGTATTTCTTATAACATGTCCCTTACACTTGGTAAAACTGTTTCTTTAACAAGTAATGCTAGCACTTTTTTGTATGTGTCAAGAACCATATGTGCGGATGGTCTTTCAGCTGGGCTTTTCTTACATCCCGAATGAATGTCGAAGAGGTGAAACCGGACAAGATCGCTCCCATCAACATCTCCTAAGAGAAAGTTGGAAACATCTGGGATTTTCCATATGTCTGTCATTTCATCATATGGAGGCATGAGGCTGTCTTCAAAGGGCACGTCCTCACCATAAGGCCAAAGCTGCTCAGGAGCAACAAACTCACCTTGTAACTCCCGGTGGCCACATTTAATCAGTTGCCCAGCTTCCCTGTTCACAAGAGGCAGGGCATCCAAGTCATTCACAACAATATGAAAGTTGCTTGTCAACAAGTACTGCGAAAGGACTTTATCCAAGTCACTAGAGTCACACATCACAAAAGTGCCCAGAGGACTATTGTGGAGGTAGTGGATGATGCTCACATAGTCTATGGCCAGTAGGAACCTGTTATACCAGGTGTTTGAGTTCTTATATTTTGGAAGGTTCAGTATCTCATTCAGATTCTTCAGGGAACCAAATGGATGATATTCAGTAAGAATCACAAACTCCTCCTCACAGTATCCAAGTAGTTTGACCACATGCTTGCTTTGTAGAGATTTCAGCATGTGAAGCCCGTGAATAAAGTCTTCTTGCAGTTCTGGCACAGTCAGTTGAGAAAGGGCCACTTTGTTTGCCTTCCATTCAGAAAGAAAGACCTAGATACAAGAAGAAAGCATTATTGATTTTTCGCAAAAGGCACAAGGCAATTTCTAGTAGCCACTACCTTTTAAGCATCTACTCATTCTAGGATTCTGGTTCAGTATGATCAACACAGCTGTAACAACTTTAAATAGAAAAAGATTCGCAAGAGCTTAATTAAACATTCCAAATCTATATAAATAAAAATGTAATTTTTGTTTGTGGGATTAACAGAACTCAAAAACCACCGGATGAATTGACATCAAATTTGGCCACAAGACACCTACTAACCCAAGGAGTGACCATCACTCAAAAAAAATTGATCATCAAGTTTGCAGACGACACCAAATTGGGAGGGATAGCCAATACCCCAGAGGACAGGAGCAGAATTCAAAACGATCTTGACAGATTAGAGAGATGGGCCAAAACTAACAAAATGAAGTTCAACAGTGACAAATGCAAGATACTCCACTTTAGGCAGAAAAAACGAAATGCAAAGATACAGAATGGGGGATGCGTGTCTTGAGAGCAGTACGTGTGAAAAAGATCTTGGAGTCCTCGTGGACAACAAGTTAAACATGAGCCAACAATGTGATGTGGCGGCAAAAAAAGCCAATGGGATTTTGGCCTGCATCAATAGGAGCATAGTGTCTAGATCTAGGGAAGTAATGCTACCCCTCCATTCTGCTTTGGTTAGACCACACCTGGAATATTGTGTCCAATTCTGGGCACCACAATTGAAGAGAGATATTGACAAGCTGGAATGTGTCCAGAGGAGGGCGACTAAAATGATAAAGGGTCTGGAGAACAAGCCCTATGAGGAACGGCTTAAGGAGCTGGCATGTTTAGCCTGAAGAAGAGAAGGCTGAGAGGAGATATGATAGCCATGTATAAATATGTGAGAGGAAGCCACAGGGAGGAGGGAGCAAGCTTGTTTTCTGCTTCCCTGGAGACTAGGACGCGGAACAATGGCTTCAAACTACAAGAAAGGAGATTCCATCTGAACATGAGGAAGAACTTCCTGACTGTGAGAGCCGTTCAGCAGTGGAACTCTCTGCCCCAGTGTGGTGGAGGCTCCTTCTTTGGAAGCTTTTAAACAGAGGTTGGATGGCCATCTGTCAGGGGTGATTTGAATGCAATATTCCTGCTTCTTGGCAGGGGGTTGGACTGGATGGCCCATGAGGTCTCTTCCAACTCTTTGATTCTATGATTCTATGATTGTCATTTGGGAGCTGTAGTTGCTGGGATTTATTGTTTACCTACAATCAAAGAGCATTCTGAACTCCACCAACAAAGGAACCGAACCTATAATAATACTAACAATAATAATAATGCTTTATTTATGCCTCACTACCATCTCTGCAAGGGACTTGGTGCGGCTTACATGAGGCCGAGCCCACAGTACATCAGCAAAAACTTATCTTGGCACACAGAACTCCCATGACCAACAGAAAACACTAGAAAGGTTTGGTGGGCATTGACCTGTGGAATGACTAGGGTGAAACAAAGGACAAACAAGGACATCTAATCACCTCAACAAAAAATTGCCCCATGCACTGCCAGGCCATCAAATACTAATCAAGGTGGTCAGTTGAAACATTCACACCTAGCTCCAACAGACAAGAGTCCTTTGTCCAAGCCTAGTCATTCCACAGATATATAAACCCTTTTTCCTAGTTCCAACAGACCTCACTACCTCTAAGGATGCTTGCCATAGATGCAGGCGAAACATCAGGAGAGAATGCCTCTAGAACATTGGTTCTCAACCTGGGGTCCCCAGATGTTTTTGGCCTTCAACTCCCAGAAATCCTAACAACTGGTAAACTGGCTGGGATTTCTGGGAATTGTAGGCCAAAAACATCTGGGGACCCCAGGTTGAGAACCACTGCTCTAGAACATAGCCATATAGCCCGAAAAAACCTACAACAACCCAAAAACCAAATCAATTCCTAAGAAGGAAGAGAACTATGTCACAACTCTGCACATTATGTAAGAATGATGGTCTAAAATGTGGTGAATGTTAACTCATTCCTGACCCACTTTTAGTGTTTAGCCAAATGGAGATTCACCAATGAATGTTGAGAAGTCACCTATGGTATGTATTCTTGTCCCAAACTTAAGAGAAATATATGTGTGTCTGTGATATAATATGTTTCCCAACATTCACAAAATTATTCTCTGACATATGCAAATACTCATCATAGATTGAACTTGAAACAATACAGGAAAACATATGTAATTTTGGAAAAAAATTATGGAAGCACCCATAATGACACATGCAACAGATTATGGTAAAGAATTGTCATAAAGTCACAGTGACTGGTTAATACACAAAATAACCGCTGAGCTGCTGAACTTGCTGACGGAAAAGTTGCCTGTTCGAATCCAGGGAGCTCCCAATGTTAGGCCCAGCTTCTGCAACCTAGCAGTTCAAAAACATGCACATGTGAGTAGATCAATAGTACCACTTCTTCGGTAAGGTAACGGCACTCCAGGCAGTCATGCTGGCCACATGACTTTGGAGGTATTTATGGACAATGCCGGCTCTGTGGCCTAGAAATGTAGATTAAAACCACCCCCCAGAGTAGGACACGAATAGACTTAATGTCAGGGCAAACCTTTATGTTTTTATTATGGTAAACTAACCTTTTTCACAGCCCCTTCACCAACACGTTTCAGTCTGCGAACTTCTGTTGTTATGGCCTTACAGGACAACAATGGTGTACAGTTCTTCATTGATCCCAATCTGAAATAACCATGTGGACACGAATTGTGCTCAACATTGATCTGGCCATAGGAAAAAAACACATTGCTGAAGTATTGGTAGAGGAGCAAGTTCGCAAACAGTACAACCAGAAGGAGAATCAAAGCTGGAGAGATCAACTTTTGCACAGGATCAGTTTTCACATCATATGATTTCTTCTCCATAATGCAGTCATCATCTTTCAAATTTTCTATAAAACATAAGAAGCACAAATTGTTAATTCAGTGTACTCAATTTTAAACAGAAATAATTCATAGAGTTTGGACACTGTCTTGAACACAGGGTTTCTGTCTTTTCAAAATAAATGAAAGGGGATGTAGAGGCAGTGTGGAAGGGCCCTTAGTGTAGCAGTAAAGGGTAAAGGTAAAGGTTGTCCTCTGACGTTAAGTCCAGTCGTGTCCGACTCTGGGGGTTGGTGCTCATCTCCATTTCTAAGCCAAAGAAGGTGTCTGTAGACACCTCCAAGGTCATGCGACCAGCATGACTGCATGGAGTGCCGTTACCTTCCAGCTGGAGCGGTACCTATTGATCTACTCACATTTGGATGTTTTCGAACTGCTAGGTTGGCAGAAGCTGGGGCTCACAGCGGAAGCTCACACCGCTCCCAGATTCGAACCTGTGAGCTTTCGGGCAACAAGCTTGGCAGCTCAGCAGTTTAACCCACTACGCCACCGGGGGCTTCCTGTAGCAGTAAAAGCAGGCCTAATTCTCACTATTATGTTGTTAACAGCTAAATCAAAAGCTATGGGTTACTCCAAATATTCAATTTTCCTCTGGAAAATTCAATGAGATAAGCTCCAACCAATCTCCCAGCTCTTGGAGTTTGGGAGAAAGTAAGAACAATTATTTAACTTCAAGTCTGAACTTGGAAAAAGGAGCAAGCATCTTTTTATAATTTCTCTGGGCTTCTTGGGTGATGTGAGCCCTCCACCATAAAGATCAAATAAGCCCCCTTCCACACAGCTGTATGAAATACCACATTATCTGTTTTGAACTGGGTTATATGGCAGTGTGGACTCAGATAACCCAGTTCAAAGAAGATATTGTGGACTATCTCCTTTGATATTTTGGGTTATATGGCTATGTGGAAGGGCTCTAAGGCAATATTCTCCACTGTCATCCCAAGGTCCAAATAGGACATGAGGACTATTCCCATCATGGAACAGGAGATTGCCTGTGATCTCACACTCCGGCTCCTTCCACACAGTTTGTTTATTTATTTATTTACTATATTTGTATATCGCCTTTCTCAGCCTATCGGCAACTCAAAGCAGTTTCCAACAAAACAGTATACATAATATCATAATACAGATTAAAACACAACAAAGGCAATAAAAAAACAACATTGCAGCTTGGATGTGATCTTGAACTCATCGCTGAGCCTGGAACCTCAGGTTTCGGCGGTGACCAGGGGAGCACTCACACAGTTAAAACTTGTGTGCCAGCTGCGCCCGTACTTTGGGAAGTCTGACTTGGCCACGGTAGTCCACACTCTGGTTGAGACACCCTGGTCATTCCACAGATATATAAACCCTTTTGCCTAGTTCCAACAGACCTCACTACCTCTGAGGATGCTTGCCAAAGTGCAGGCGAAACGTCAGGAGAGAATGCCTCTTGACCATGGCCATAAAGCCTGAAAAAACCTACAACAAACCAGTGATTCCGGCCATGAAAGCCTTCGACAATACAGAGGTCATAGTGTTATTATTACATTTATTTATATACTGCTTTTTTATTTTAAGGAGACACAAGGTACTGAGCTTCTATTTATAGAATCACTAGCCATCCCTGACCATGCGTTGCTGTGGCCCAGTCTGGTGATCTGGAAAATAAGGTAAAGAGGAAGTGTTGTTTCTAATACATGTAATTTCTTTATGCTTGTGGGTAAACAGTATTTATTCTTGTTTCTTTGTCAGTGTTGATGTGGAGATCGTCTGGTTTGCCTACTATGGAATTTGTAACATATAATTGTCCTTCTTTAGGGGTCCCCTTCAAATCTCTATGTGTGTGAATCATATATATCTATATGTATAGCTGGAAGGCTCTTTGTCAGAATGGCTTTGATTACGTTTTCTTGCCCTGGTGAAGGGAGTTGGACTGGATAGCCTGAAGTATTTTCTGTTGGTCTTGGGAGTTCTGTGTGGGAAGTTTGGCCCAATTCTGTCGTGGGTGGGGTTCAGATTGCTCCTTGATTGTAGATGAACTATACATCCCAGTAACTACAACTTCCAAATGTCAGGGTCTATTTCCCCCCAACTCCTTCTGTGTTCATACTTGGGCACATGGATTATTCGTGCCAAGCTTGGTCTAAATTCTTCATTGTTTGAGTCCATAGTGCTCTCTAGATGTAGGTGAACTACAACTCAAGGTCAATGCCCACCTAACCCTTCTAGTGTTTTCTGTTGGTCATGGGAGTCCTGTGTGCCACGTTTAGTTCAGTTCCTTTGTTGCTGGAGTTCAGAATGCTCTTTGATTGTAGGTGAACTATAAATCCCAGCAATTAGAATTCCCAAATGACAAAATCAATTTTTTTGAGTGATGGTCAATCATTGGGTTGTTAGGTGTATTCTGCCCAAATCTTGTGTCAATTCGTCCAGTGGTTTTTGAGTTCTGTTAATCCCACAAATGAACATTACATTTTATTTATATAGATTATATTATTAGCATAGTACAATATTAGTATTATCTACTACTATATTGTACTACACTATTATATTGTAATATTATTAGTAATATTACATGTAATATAAAATATATAATTATTGTATTATTAGTAGTATTATATTGTATTACATTATATTATAAATATTATATGTATATACAAATGGAGATGAGCACCACACCCGAGTCAGACATGACTGGACTTAATGTCAGGGGATAACCTTTACCTTTACCTTATATATTATGTGATATTGTATTATATTATATTGTATTATATTATTATATTATATTATTATATTATATTATTATATTATATTATATTATATTATATTATATTATATTATATTATATTATATTATTTGTAAACCACAGGAGACAAGATGGAACTGTCTTCTGCTCCCCTCTCGCTTCACTCTGGCCAGGACAAGATGGAAATACAATATCAGTATTATATATTACTATATTGTACTATACCATTATATTGTAATATTACTAATATTACATGTAATATAAAATATATATGTGGGAGTATGGGTGGGGCCCAACTGCAGCCGCTGTCCATTAAAAGAAGGATCAGAGGAAATCAATGGGCATATTTGAATCAAGTAAAAGCAGCTCGAAGCACTACCACCTCACCCGCCTCATAGGAAACCTGCTACAAAACAGGAGCTTTTTTGTTGAGTTCCAGGGCCAGAGAAGCAGATGTTGGAGAAACAGAAGAACGGCCTGCCTCAGGGGAGCGTGCTTGCTCCATCCATGTTCAACATCTACACAAATGACCAGCCACTGCCAGAAGGGACAGAGAGCTTCATTCATGCTGATGATCGTGCCATCACTGCTCAAGCAGGGAGCTTTGAGATGGTAGAACAGAAGCTCTCCGAAGCTCTAGGTGCTCTTACTGCCTATTACAGGGAAAACCAGCTGATCCCCAACCCATCTTTCACCTTAAGAACAGACAAGCATCCCGAGCTCTGAGGATTACCTGGGAAGGAATCCCACTGGAGCACTGCAGCACACCCAAATACCCGGGAGTCACTCTGGACTGTGCTCTGACCTACAAGAAGCACTGCCTGAACATCAAGCAAAAAGTGGGTGCTAGAAACAATCATATATATATATATATATAAATGCTCTATGCATAATGAGTACCTTAAAAACAAAAGAACCAATGAATGAAATCACACCAAATTGGGCAACAAAACGTCTCACAACACAAGGAGTGACCATCACTCAAAAAATTATGATTTTTTCATTTGTGAGTTGTAGTTGCTGGAATTTTTAGTTCACCTACAATAAAAGAGCATTCTGAACTCCATCAATGATGGAATTGAACCAAACTTGGTACACGGAACTCCTATGACCAACAGAAAATACTGGAAAGGTTTGGTGGGCATTGACCTTGGGTTTTGGAGTTGTAGTTCACCTACATCCAGAGAGCACTGTGGACTCAAACAATGATGGATCGAGACCAAACCCTACACGAATACTCAATATGCCCAAATGTGAACACTGGTGGAGTTTGGGGAAAATAGAATCTTGACATTTGGGAGTTGTAGTTGCTGGGATTTACAGTTCACCTACAATCACAGAGCATTCGGAAACCCACCAACGATGGAATTGAACCAAACTTGGCACACAGTTCTCCCATGACCAACAGAAAATACTGGAAGGCTTTGGTGGGCACTGTCCTTTGGTTTTGGAGTTGTAGTTCACCTACATCCAGAGATCACTGTGGACTCAAACAATGATAGCTCTGGATTAAACTCTACACGAATACTCAATATGCCCAAATGTGAACACTGGTCATGTTCCTTCGTTCAGTCGTCTCCGACTCTTCGTGACCTCATGGACCAGTCCACGCCAGAGCTCCCTGTCGGCCGTCACCACCCCCAGCTCCTTCAAGGTCAGTCCAGTAGTCCCATCTTCCAATGGCATACTGACATATCTCTGGTTGTACTGGTCCATTTAGTTTTCTTGGCAAGGATACTGGGGTGGTTTGCCATTGCCTTCCTCAGGGATCACGCTTGGTCTGACCTCCCTGCCACGACCGTCCCGTCTTGGGTGACCCTTCACGGTTTCGCTCATGACATAATTGAGGTGCTCAAGCTCCAGCGCCACAACAAGGCGGTGATCCTTTGCTGGAGGTGAACACTGGTAGAGTTTGGGAAAAATAGAGTCTTGCCAGTTGGGAGTTGTAGTTGCTGGGATTTATAGTTCACCTACAATCACAGAGTATTCTGAACCTCACCAACGATTGAATTGGGCCAAACCTCCCACACAAAACCCCTATGTGGGCCACAGCAACGCGTGGCAGGGGACGGCTAGTATCATGCGAAAGTTGACTGGCACAACTTGGGGATCACAACCAGATCACAACCAGACACAGTGACTGGCACAACTTGGGGATCACAACCAAGACATCTGCCCTTGCGCTATGCTACTCTGCTGCTGAGTACGCATGCCCAGTGTGGAACACATCTCACCACACTAAAACAGTGGATGTGGCTCTTAATGAGACATGCCGCATTA